CAGTTGTGGCAGCATATCACTCGAACAAGCTGTATGTGATCGGGAATAATCCAGACATGGTTTGACCGACCGGTTTACTTCTTTCAGCATAGAAAAAACTACCAGGCTTTTTAAAAGTAAGATTACAATATATTCAACTATTGATGTCTGAAATTTAAGGAACGAAATTATTCAACTTTTCTGAAATAATTAGTTATTTTTCCATCAAATTTCCAAACAACATTTTAAAATCCATTAGATTGTTCAAACAACCACTTAACAGTCAATATCATAGCTAAACATTAAATATGTACAAACGATTTATAGGTTAAACCAAAACCTTAATTATATTAAACTATATATAAAACTGAGACAAGATATTGGGAATGATTAAATGGATAATACGAAAGGGCAGATAAAGGAAATTTGGAGCTCCGGAAAGACAAAGCTTAAATCAAGAGTATATGAAGATCAGCTGGTCAAACTATCTCAAACCCAACTTCAATGACGATCCTGGTTTTTAGAAAGGTTAGCTTTAAGAAACTGATTTCAAAGTAAAGAGTATCTTGATTCAATTACATTTAAAAATATGTCCCTAGGTAAATTACAGTGGAACCTCGTTTTCTCGAACTCGGCGGAACCGTGAGAAACTCGAGATACTGAGTATTCGATTATGTGAGTTCGATAATTTTGTTTAAAGTTAAGTTAGGCAGAGACCGATGAAATGTTTCCAATTAAACAGGGCCTTCGAATTATACAAGTTCAATATAAAGGGGTTCAACATTATGTCTTACTACCAGTCAAACATGACTTTCATACCTCTTCAATGTGTAAGATAAAAAAAAAAACATAAGGAAAAACATACAAAAGTAAAAAAAGGTCTGATAAAAAAAAGGAAAATATGAAATTGTGGGTCTGAATGAAAACATCAACGGAACAACTTGGCTTGACTTTGAACTACCCTATATATAGAGAAGAGGACAGTTAATATCACAAACGTCATCAAAAACCATACAACAGTCATCACGTTAAACAGCATATATATATTAACAGTCAGGCTTTTTACACAAAAATAATTTATATCATATATACATATACATATTTCTTTGGGAAAATAATTCATTTTGGCAACATTGATGGTAATGCACCATAGGATTCACAAACAGCGTGATTTTATCCACTATAACGACTCCGACGTTTTATTAACAATCGTTTTTGAAAATCAGTTATCTCTTCCAATCAGTTTGAAAGTGAAATAAATCCTGCGTACAACTCTATTCAGCAATTGCCGATAACGATGAATTCCTACTTAAGCAGCTCTGGAACAATAGTTTACGGTAACAACGAAATTATACATGGAGACAACGTAGTTCCTGCTATAACGTATAAATAAAGCGAGCTGGCCATTTATTATTTTTTCCCTCTCACTATTACAAATAAATTTTATTTATAATGAAGATGAAATATGTATAACCAAATGAACGCTTAAGCCAGTAAAGTAAGGCCGGTGTCATTTAAAAAAAAAAAAAAATTGTTAATAACAATAAATAGGAAAGTGAGTAAAGAAAGCTTTCTTACCGAAGGGAGATAAATCTTCAAAATTTACAAGGGAGATAACCATTCTGTACCTATGCCTGTTTCAAAACTTGAACTGTTGGAAGTCCTAGAGATTACCTTGGAAATTCTTTCTCTGTGAAGGCAAATGAAGTATATGGTTTTCTGTATGAACAATTTACTACTTTTTTTATCTTCCAACCTAATTTCCCGTCCAGCACACGTCCTAGCTTCATCTAGGGTTCGATAGTGATATTTTGTTTTCTGAAAGTAACACAAAGCATCATGTTATGTGTATGATGTATCGATGATGAATCATCATAAGGGTCTATATAAGGCTAACTACGGTAAATCATTATAAGGGTCTATATAAGGCTAACTACGGTAAATCATTATAAGGGTCTATAAGGCTAACTATGGTAAATCATTATAAGGGTCTGTAAGGCTAACTACGGTAAATCATTATAAGGGTCTGTAAGTCTACTATGATAAATCATTATAAGGGTCTGTAAGTTTACTATGATCAATCATTATAAGGGTCTATAAGGCTAACTACGGTAAATCATTATATGGGTCTATAAGGCTAACTACGGTAAATCATTATAAAGGTCTATATAAGTCTAACTATGATGAATCATTATAAGGGTCTGTAAGTTTACTATGATCAATCATTATAAGGGTCTATAAGGCTAACTACGGTAAATCATTATATGGGTCTATAAGGCTAACTACGGTAAATCATTATAAAGGTCTATATAAGTCTAACTATGATGAATCATTATAAGGGTCTGTAAGTCTACTATGATAAATCATTATAAGGGTCTATAAGACTAACTATGATAAATCATTATAAGGGTCTATAAGTCTAACTATGATAAATCATTATAAGGGTCTATAAGGCTAACTAAGGTAAATCATTATAAGGGTCTATAAGGCTAACTACGGTAAATCATTATAAGGGTCTAACTATGATAAATCATTAAAAGGGTCTATAAGTCTACTATGATAAATCATTATAAGGGTCTGTAAGTCTAACTACGGTAAATCATTATAAGGGTCTATAAGTCTAACTATGATGAATCATTATAAGGGTCTATCAGTCTAACTATGATGAATCATTATAAGGGTCTATCAGTCTAACTATGATAAATCATTATAAGGGTCTATAAGGCTAACTAAGGTAAATCATTATAAGGGTCTATATAAGGCTAACTACGGTAAATCATTATAAGGGTCTATAAGGCTAACTACGGTAAATCATTATAAGGGTCTAACTATGATAAATCATTAAAAGGGTCTATATAAGGCTAACTACGGTAACTCATTATAAGGGTCTATCAGTCTAACTATGATAAATCATTATAACGGTCTATAAGTCTATGATAAATCATTATAACGGTCTATCAGTCTAACTATGATGAATCATTATAAGGGTCTGTAAGTCTACTATGATAAATCATTATAAGGGTCTGTAAGTCTACTATGATAAATCATTATAACGGTCTATAAGTCTAACTATGATGAATCATTATAAGGGTCTATCAGTCTAACTATGATGAATCATTATAAGGGTCTATAAGTCTAACTATGATGAATCATTATAAGGGTCTATAAGTCTAACTATGATGAATCATTATAAGGGTCTATCAGTCTAACTATGATAAATCATTAAAAGGGTCTATATAAGGCTAACTACGGTAACTCATTATAAGGGTCTATCAGTCTAACTATGATAAATCATTATAACGGTCTATAAGTCTATGATAAATCATTATAAGGGTCTATAAGTCTAACTATGATGAATCATTATAAGGGTCTATAAGACTAACTATGATAACTCATTATAAGGGTCTATAAGGCTAACTACGGTAAATCATTATGAGTGTCTGTAAGTCTAACTATGATGAATCATTATAAGGGTCTATCAGTCTAACTATGATAAATCATTATAACGGTCTATAAGTCTATGATAAATCATTATAACGGTCTCTCAGTCTAACTATGATGAATCATTATAAGGGTCTGTAAGTCTAACTACGATAAATCATTATAAGGGTCTGTAAGTCTAACTATGATAAATCATTATAAGGGTCTATCAGTAACTATGATAAATCATTATAAGGGTCTATAAGTCTAACTATGATGAATCATTATAAGGGTCTGTAAGACTAACTATGATAAATCATTATAAGGGTCTATAAGTCTAACTATGATAAATCATTATAAGGGTCTGTAAGTCTAACTATGATAAATCATTATAAGGGTCTATCAGTCTAACTATGATAAATCATTATAACGGTCTATAAGTCTAACTATGATAAATCATTATAAGGGTCTGTAAGTCTAACTATGATAAATCATTATAAGGGTCTATAAGACTAACTATGATAAATCATTATAAGGGTCTATAAGTCTACTATGATAACTCATTATAAGGGTCTGTAAGTCTAACTACGGTAAATCATTATAACCCTGTATTATATACAAGGTTTATTCTCAAGATTAAATTGCCCAACTTGGCGTTATCTATCTACACACGTAGTAGCTAGGAAAACCTGATGAAAGGCTGGTCTACAGTACTTACCTGTCTAGATAATGACAGTGGGGTCCCCGTTAGGATTGCAGTACCTACCTGTCTATATAGTGATCATGAGGTACCCATTAAGATCGACTACAGTACCTACCTGTCTACATTGTACCCTGGATTTCCTCGTTAGGGTTGCGGGTTGTACCAACCTGTCTACATTGTACCCTGGAAGTCCTCGTTAGGGTTGCGGGCTGCACCTACCTGTCTACATTGTAACCTAGAAGTTCTCGTTAGGGTTGCGGACTGTACATACCTGTCTACATTGTACCGCGGAAGTCCTCGTAAGGGTTGCGGGCTGTACTACCTGTCTACATTGTAACCTAGAAGTTCTCGTTAGGGTTGCGGACTGTATCTACCTGTCTCCATAGAACACTGGAAGTTCTCGCTAGGGTTGCAGACTGTACCTACTTGTCTACATTGTACCCTGGAAGTCCTCGTTAGGGTTGCGAGCTATACCTACCTGTCTACATAGAACACTGGAAGTCCTCGCTAGGGTTGCAGACTGTACATACCTGTCTACATTGTACCCTGGAAGTCCTCGCTAGGGTTGCGGGCTGTACCTACCTGTCTACATTGTACCCTGGAAGTCCTCGTTAGGGTTGCGGGCTGTAACTACCTGTCTACATTGTACCCTGAAAATCCTCGTTAGGGTTGCGGGCTGTACCTACCTGTCTACATAGTACCCTGGAAGTCCTCGCTAGGGTTGCGGGCTGTACCTACCTGTCTACATTGTACCCTGGATTTCCTCGTTAGGGTTGCGGACTGTATCTACCTGTCTCCATAGAACACTGGAAGTCCTCGTTAGGGTTGCGGGCTGTACCTACCTGTCTACATTGTACCCTGGAAGTCCTCGTTAGGGTTGCGGGCTGTACCTACCTGTCTACATTGTACCCTGGAAGTCCTCGTTAGGGTTACGGGCTGGCTGTTGCTCCATCACTTCCTCGTTCATATTGCTTATGGTACTACAGGAAATGTTTGCGTCCCCGGTATAATGGACGATCTCCCCGTAACCATTGGTCGAGCGAGCCTCATGACTATGCCACAAACCATAGGAAAAGTAGATAGTCAGACCTACAATGGATGATATACATGTTCACAGAAACAACATAAAAAAATAAAATAAAATGGAAAAACTGGCCAAGGGGAACACATAATGGGATAATGTACATTTAGGCGAAAACTGTAAAAATACTAACACATATATGAGATAAAATATCAATTTTTCTACCTTAACTTATACAATCAATATTGTATTGTCGACAAAAAGAAACCGAAAAGTAATTGAAAAACGCATGTCGGCTTTATTTTGAATACAATGTAACACTGTTCTATAAATCTTCAAACGAACACATCGTGTTAGGAAAATTCTGTGACCATACTACTGGAATTTTAATGTTATCTTTCTGCAGCGTCGTTCAATGTCCCTTGAATATTTTTTATATAATCTGATATCTAAATGTAAATACGAGATGAGAAAAGATTATGACATCACATTTGCATTACGAGATCGTCAATCAGATTAAACATCGAAGCGATATATAAACGATTCCAGGAACACGTGTCACGCTGTGGATTGTAGAGGTTTGTGAAGACAATGTGCAGGAGTATGAGGCCACTGACGGGCGCTATTAATTATAGCGTCATCTCACTGTAATGCTATAACATCTTGCTGATAATTGGCGTACAGTCCATCAAAAGATGTCATAGAACCAACAGATGCCCTCAGGACAAGACTCGATTCTACGAGCCGTTCTGAACATTAAATGCCGGTCATGGACCTGCACTTGATAACCAATATCAAATTCTTCATTTGATATGTTAGTCAATATTTTCAACAAATACACCCGTTACATCGCAAACATTAAACTGCGTTTTAAATCCAAGTTCAAATCCAATAAATTGGGAATAATAATTTCGGGTACAAAAACTATCCAACGTCCAAACAGGATGACGACACTGGTCTCCAAGGTAACTGACCGGATACTTAAATATCGATTTTGCCAACAGAGCTGATAATGTCATTCTCCTGTGTCTGTTCATTGTCGTGTCCAGTGACATCTCATCACTAATCAATTTATTTATGTTAGACTCGCGTCCTCTAGAAACCATATCTCTGGTCTGTTACAACAAAGTCTCAGGAGTTGAAATATACTAGTGAGAACTAAATCTATCATAGACAAATAACTAACCTACAATATCTTACCAAACATACAGGATAGCGTACAGTATCAACATACACAAAAACCATTTAACACTCAACTCACAATAACTTAACCAGTAAGCACTAACATAAAAGTTAAGACTCAGATAATCACAAGTTGAGTCAGTAATAAGTAATTAGGTGGTTCATCAGTGTGACATAATTTGGGCCGAGTCAGCTACAAGTAACAAGGTTGGTTTATGACTGTGACATAATTTGGGCCGAGTCAGCTACAAGTAACAAGGTTGGTTTATGACTGTTTATACTTGTAGTCGAGTCAGTTACGTTATTTATGGACGATACTAACCTACGGCCATCCAGATACCAAGACGGATCCAGGTGAGGTGGTTCAGGTTCAGCATCAAGGCTATGTTACAGAACATGCTCAGGATAGGAATCAACGGCACGAACGGGATCTAAAAACAAAACAAATTATGTGAGTTTTATCGAGATATGAAGAGGAACGGAAACGGGACAAATTGTATCAGCTATATCGAGGCAAGAATAGGATCGGAATCGGGACAAATTGTATACAAGTATTCATCGAGAATGTGGTGAAGGTGAAGACACCTGTTCTACCATAAATAAAGTACCTACAGATAATGTTGTGAAGGTGGAGACACCTGTTCAACCATACATGAAGTACCTACCGAGAATGTGGTGAAGGTGGAGACACCTGTTCAACCATACGTGAAGTACCTACCGAGAATGTGGTGAAGGCGTCATTCTTCTCGTGTGCGATCATGACTAGGAAGCAGGCGATGATAGCGATACCGAACAGGATCACCAGGAAAATTGCCCACCAGGCGCCCGCCTGGATATAACTGAAGCCGAATATAAGGACTGCACAGAAACAAACAATAAAGACCAGAATTAAGAAAGTAGCCAGAAGCGAGGCATTTCCGGGTTGGAATGACCGCAACAGTGGTATAGACTTAAGCTTTTCCTTCAGACGTCCAAAGTCATCATGGCTCTTTGATTTCTTAATTATAGAACTTTCTTCCGTTTCAACTTCCGATCCAGGTCTAACCTCTTCCACCTCTTCTTCCGGTTTAAGTTTAAACTGGCATTTGTCAACCGGAAGGTATCTTAGAATAATTACAGAAGCCCCAACTATAGTGTAAGCCATCAGAGTACCAATAGACATAAACTCAACGAGGGTCTCTATCTCAAACAAGAGCGACATTAATGCAGATATCATCCCGAAGGTGAATATTCCCCAGATGGGGGTCTGTGTCCGAGGATATATATAGGAGAAGATACTAAACAGAAGTCCGTCAGAAGACATTGCGTAAATTGTGCGGGGTAGAGAAAACGCAGAACCCAATAGCGATGTAGTGATTCCGAACAGAGTTCCTATGGCAACGATATATTTCGCCCATTCGGCACTTCTCATGGCAAATGCCATCGGAAATGCAGCGGTTGGATCGACGTCATAGTAAGGAATCATCAAGGTCAATGCCGCCGTCACCATGATGTATAGAAACGTTACTATTCCTAATGCCGTCACAGTAGATATGGGAATGGAGCGCTCTGGGTTCTTGGCTTCTTCTCCAGCCGTAGCAATCCCTTCGAATCCTATGTAAGCGAAAAAACAGGTGGCCGCACCAGAAAGGCAACCACTGAATCCATTCGGGAAAAATCCGCCACTTTTAGCATTTTCCCAGTTATGAATATCAGCAAAATAGAAACCAACGCAGATCAGAAATACTATGACAGTCATATTTAGTACGGTGAAAACGGTGTTAAAGTTCATCGTAAACTTAGCCCCCGTTCCTACAACAGTGAACACTGCTATAGTGGCAGAAAAGGCAATAAAGTCTGGGTATTCCGAAAGCCAGTCGCTTTCCCGACTCAGATAACCAATATTTGTAAGAGTGGCGTTCCGAATGGCACCATTAAAGATTGAGTCCAGACTGCCACTGAACGCCCGCGCGACTGCCGACGCGCCTAGCAGATGTTCCAGAACTATGTTCCAGCCAATGATGAAACCCCATAGCTCCCCTAGTGTAACGTAAGTGTAGGAGTAGGCAGAACCAGCCTTCGGAACTCTTGCTCCAAATTCAGCATAACATAACGCTGACAAAATGGCAGCGAATCCAGCAAAAAGAAATGAGAGGACAGCGGAGGGTCCGGCAAGATCTTTGACCACGGTACCGGAAAGGACGTAGATACCAGCGCCAATCATGTGACCTATCCCAAGTAGGGTGATGTCGAATGTGTTAAGACATCTTTTGAGGGGTGTGTCATGGAAGTCGTCAGTCACTGTCTTCTTCCGGTTAATGGCTAGCCACAGTGAGGTGACACCCTCCCTCACTCGCTCACGCATTGTGCCGTCTGTAATGTACAAACATTGACTTTTAAACAGAAATATACATAAGTATTAAAACACGTACTGTGATGAGAAATATTAATGTCGACAATATTGCTTGTTCATTTCAAATGTAAAATATTCCAGATCAAACCCCGATGGACTTACAAACACAATGAAAGTAGCGGTTACCATCAACCTTGATTGTGCCTACCGTCAATAAAAGGAGACGTCTCTTGTCAAGGTTATCGCGGGCGAACTCAAGGGTGGATTTCCGTCTCTAGAGGACGATAATTAATCATATCGATTTGACTATAGTAATATCTAGCGGGCGATTGTGTGACAGGTCCTATTGAAAACAACCGTTGTTACTGTATTCATCTCTTTCAATCACTCCTCACGGGACCATCACATCCTAGCCGGGTAATTACAGTGTCCTATAGATACCATGGTATGATCAATGTGTTGCACAATAGTAAAGAGTCACCTGGTCATTTTATTATTTCTCGTACTTAAAACAGTCTTCAGGTTTTCTGATTGGAATATCGACACATCCTCGATACTTCAGGGGATACGATCACTACACCCTCGATTCTCCAGGGGTTACAATCACTTTCGCTCTCTGCACTCCTGGAAAATTTTCAGGCAAAGTTGAAGAAAAAAGCAAAGTAACTTGATTGGTTCAGGGAGGATCTCGGGAGAACAAACATTGACCAATCAAAGACCGATACGCTAATTTGAAGATTACAAAGGAGCGACACTGAACTTCAAAGCCAGTACAACATATCATTATTGCGACTTGATTTCAATTTTGCCATGAAACTTTCTAGTGTGCAGTTAGCGTTAGTGAGTGTAACCCCTGGCATAAACAACAAATCTCACACTTTCATTGCGTATAAACAAAGGAAGTTAAACAATATCTTTAATTAGCATCCGTAATTTGTAACAATCAACGCTAAAGCACGAACAATAGATCTAATCATGCAGTAGAGACCGTACAATCATGCTTATGATGGTCTGAAATCGTCCTCCCTCTCCCAACCTCCAAAACGTACAGGACCTTTGTAATAGTAAACAAATGTTTCTCCCCTGCCCAAAACGTGTATAGAACATTTAAAACCTGTAATCTCCCATGTCCCCTACCATATATATGACGCCTGTTATCAAGTTTGACGTCTGTAATCGTTTTACTTCCTATAGTCCCCAACATGTATATGGCGAATATAATAATATTACCTCCTCCAACTCCTAACATGTATGTGACGCCTGTGATCATACTACCTCCTCCAGCCCCTAACATGTATATGACGTCTGTACTGTATTCCCTCCACCGGCCCCTAACATGTATATTACGTCTGTACTGTATCCCCTCCACCGGCCCCTAACATGTATATGACGTCTGTGATCATACTACCTCCTCCAGCCCCTAACACGTATATGACGTCTGTGATCATACTACCTCATCCGGCCCCTAACATGTATGTGACGTCTGTGATCATACTACCTCCTCCAGCCCCAAACATGTATATGACGTCTGTGATCATACTACCTCCTCCGGTCCCTAACACGCATTTGACGTCTGTGATCATACTACCTCCTCCAGCCCCTAACATGTATATGACGTCTTTGATCATACTACCTCCTCCGGTCCCTAACACGCATATGACGTCTGTGATCATACTACCTCCTCCAGCCCCTAACACGTATATGACGTCTGTGATCATACTACCTCCTCCGGCCCCTAACATGTATATGACGTCTGTGATCATACTACCTCCTCCAGCCCCAAACATGTATATGACGTCTGTGATCATACTACCTCCTCCGGTCCCTAACACGCATTTGACGTCTGTGATCATACTACCTCCTCCAGCCCCTAACATGTATATGACGTCTGTGATCATACTACCTCCTCCGGTCCCTAACACGCATTTGACGTCTGTGAACATACTACCTCCTCCGGCCCCTAACACGTATATGACGTCTGTGATCATACTACCTCTTCCGACCCCTAACATGTATATGACGTTTGTGACCATACTACCTCCTCCGGCCCCTATCATGTATATGACGTCTGTGATCATACTACCTCCTCCAGCCCCAAACATGTATATGACGTCTGTGATCATACTACCTCCACCGGTCCCTAACACGCATTTGACGTCTGTGATCATACTACCTCCTCCAGCCCCTAACATGTATATGACGTCTGTGATCATACTACCTCCTCCGGTCCCTAACACGCATTTGACGTCTGTGAACATACTACCTCCTCCGGCCCCTAACACGTATATGACGTCTGTGATCATACTACCTCTTCCGGCCCCTAACATGTATATGACGTTTGTGACCATACTACCTCCTCCGGCCCCTATCATGTATATGACGTCTGTGATCATACTACCTCTTCCGGCCCCTAACATGTATATGACGTCTGTGATCATACTACCTCCTCCGGCCCCTAACATGTATATGACGTCTGTGATCATACTACCTCTTCCGGCCCCTAACATGTATATGACGTTTGTGATCATACTACCTCCTCCAGCCCCTAACATGTATATGACGTCTGTGATCATACTACCTCCTCCGGTCCCTAACACGCATTTGACGTCTGTGATCATACTACCTCCTCCAGCCCCTAACACGTATATGACGTCTGTGATCATACTACCTCCTCCGGCCCCTAACATGTATATGACGTCTGTGATCATACTACCTCCTCCAGCCCCAAACATGTATATGACGTCTGTGATCATACTACCTCCTCCGGTCCCTAACACGCATTTGACGTCTGTGATCATACTACCTCCTCCAGCCCCTAACATGTATATGACGTCTGTGATCATACTACCTCTTCCGGCCCCTAACATGTATATGACGTTTGTGACCATACTACCTCCTCCGGCCCCTATCACGTATATGACGTCTGTGATCATACTACCTCTTCCGGCCCCTAACATGTATATGACGTTTGTGATCATACTACCTCCTCCAGCCCCTAACATGTATATGACGTCTGTGATCATACTACCTCCTCCGGTCCCTAACACGCATTTGACGTCTGTGATCATACTACCTCCTCCGGCCCCTAACATGTATATGACGTCTTTGATCATACTACCTCCTCCGGTCCCTAACACGCATATGACGTCTGTGATCATACTACCTCCTCCAGCCCCTAACATGTATATGACGTCTGTGATCATACTACCTCCTCCAGCCCCTAACATGTATATGACGTCTGTGATCATACTACCTCCTCCGGTCCCTAACACGCATTTGACGTCTGTGATCATACTACCTCCTCCAGCCCCTAACATGTATATGACGTCTGTGATCATACTACCTCCTCCGGTCCCTAACACGCATATGACGTCTGTGATCATACTACCTCCTCCGGCCCCTAACACGTATATGACGTCTGTGATCATACTACCTCTTCCGGCCCCTAACATGTATATGACGTTTGTGACCATACTACCTCCTCCGGCCCCTATCATGTATATGACGTCTGTGATCATACTACCTCTTCCGGCCCCTAACATGTATATGACGTCTGTGATCATACTACCTCCTCCGGTCCCTAACACGCATTTGACGTCTGTGATCATACTACCTCCTCCGGCCCCTAACATGTATATGACGTCTGTGATCATACTACCTCTTCTGGCCCCTGACATGTATATGACGTTTGTGATCATACTACCTCTTCCGGTCCCTAACATGTATATGACGTCTGTGATCATACTACCTCTTCCGGCCCCTAACATGTATATGACGTCTGTGATCATACTACCTCCTCCGGTCCCTAACACGCATATGACGTCTGTGATCATACTACCTCCTCCGGCCCCTAACATGTATATGACGTCTGTGATCATACTACCTCTTCCGGCCCCTAACATGTATATGACGTTTGTGATCATACAACCTCTTCCGGCCCCTAACATGTATATGACGTCTGTGATCGTTTTACCTTCTTCAGCCCCTAACATGTATATGACGTCTGTGATCGTATTACCTCTCCAGTCTCTAATATGTAGATGATGCCTGTCATTTGTTATTTCCTCCAGTCCTTCAAATACCTCCTGTTCCCAAAATTGTATTGAACGTTTGTAATCATATTTATCTCTTATTGCCTAAAACATTGTTACCAGATCTTCCATAGCTTTGTACAAGTATCAAATATGTAGTTTGTAATCGATTGACAAATATTATCATCCTGCTTGCACCGAGAAATTGGCGATAATCTAATTGATGCCATTATATAGTTATCTGCAGTTGCAGCCCTGGAGTATGTTTACCAATAGTGAAGCGACGGAAGGAATGGTAGTGCATGACAAACAATGTTAACACTTACTTGTGTAGCAAATGCTGGCCCAGAACCTTACCAAATTAAAGTTTTCTTGTGTATAAGATATCTCGTTAAAACTTTATAAATTATCTAATTTACAAAATTACCTGTAGATATCTAATTATCTACATAAGATATCAAATTTAGTAGGAAAGATATCTGATGTATTAAATTAGAAAATTGAAATTAGTCCCCTTATTTTATCAAAATCATACATCTAATTTATTAATTAAGATATCAAGATTTAAAAAAAAATCTTGTAATTCTCTTTTTATGATATCGATTTTAGTAAATTTAATATCTTATATACTAAATTAAAATCCATATAAAAAAGCAATATTAATATAAGCTGTTTAGTGTCGATTAGGAAAGAAATCTTCCACATTAGCGAGGTGAGATGGTTAGGTCAGTACTTCTCCAGAGATAGCCGCCGCCATTGACATGGTTAAAAGAATTTGCAGTACCCGAGGTGCAGATATCAATACCTCCTAGTCGTTTTTCCTGTGACGTCAGTCACCGAGAGACCATATACACGTTTTCCTTAAGAGTACCTTAGGTCTGCTGCATGACAATTAGGGTCAGCTTTAAGCAATGTTTTCGGTGAAATACGCCAGCCGCGCACGCGTATGTTGATGATGAGCCAATGATGACGTCAAGACGGTTTTACATCAGATCTGCGGATGTAGTAAATGAGAGTTTAAGTATCAATATCAGAAATATATATATAACTGCCACCAGATATGTTTATGTAAAGTTGTCTTCAGTCGCAAATTAAATAAAATATATATGTCCGTTTTACACCAACATGAATATTGGCATCAATAAGGAAGACTTATACCAGGGACGTCCCTGCTGTTACGAAGCCTTGTTTACATTACGTTGTTTGATGACAATATTATATAATTCTCACAAATATTTATGATACGAACCTATATTCTATATCCTTTTGAAAATTAGATAATTGTAATAAAATCAACACTTCAAACAGAATTTCACAGTATGTTATTTTCCGGTACGTTTACGTAAAACACGTCATCAGACATAAAACTTCAAAAATCTGTCAAGCACATCGCGTTGTATTACCTACTCAATTCCGTCACGCACGCGCTGGTTGTATCGTCCACTGTTCACGAATTCCGTCACGCACAAGTGCATCACATGACACACTTTTCACAAATACTGTAACAACAGGTTGATTTGCCGCATGATACTCTTTTTATTGAAGTTATTGAATGTGCTCACAAAACATTAGCCTGTAAACTGCATTGATCCTGCAATAAAGTGAATGATATTTTTATAGAGTATGAGAAACGGTGCCCGACAGGCAACCTAAGATTAAAGTGATTTCATAGACTCAAGTCATCACGAACAATGAAAGTTAAAAAAGAAAAAAAAAAGCTAAACACAAGATGCCTCAAAGCGGCGCGACAAGCTCTAGAATTCATGGTCGTTCGGCAGTCGAACCAAAACCTAAGGAGAATGGGATAGCATGTCATACGTGGCTGACCAAGAGTGAAACCCTAACTCATTGGTTTAAACGATGCTAGGACCCCGATGGCGACCGGGAGTCGAACTCCCGCCCTAACTCATTGGTTTAAACGATGCTAGGACCCCGATGGCGACCGGGAGTCGAACTCCCGCCCTAACTCATTGGTTTAAACGATGCTAGGACCCCGATGGCGACCGGGAGTCGAACTCGCGCCCAAACTCAGTGTTATAAACAACGCTAGGAACCCGCTGTCCACCTGGGGTCTAGCTCGCGTCCGAACTGATAGGTTTAAACGATGCAAGGACCCCGATGTCGACCGAGAGTCGAACTCGCGTCCAAACTGATAGGTTTAAACGATGCTAGTACCCCGTTGTCGACCGGGGTACACGGGATTTCAAATGATGCAGATCGGGAATCGAACTGACATTAAAAAACAGCGGTTCAAACGACGATATCACCTCAATGCCTGCCAACTTACACAAAAACAAATTAGTGTTAATATGTTGATATATTGCATGGTATTTACATAACAGGTGATCGGTATAATACGTTCGTCGAATGCAGATGGATTTTGAATGCTTACCACGTCCGGGAATTGATGACACCGTACTTAATATAGCAGGCTTGTAAACTGCTCTATAAACCCCATATCATATTTGAACATGCCTCTCTATTTTACTAAATGTCACAGTCTGGTCTATCACAGTAAATAATTCCGGCCAATTAACAGTCATCATTCTCAAATGTCAAACAACGTAACATACCGAGGACTTGACAAATTATTTCATTACAGAAAAGAAAATCACTTAGCGGCTCTAATGCAACTTAAGGCACAAACTCACATCACACAGAAATTTATCAAAATAAGAAATTATAGCAAAATAGTGTACCATATGGTACAGAAAAACTCGTGGTCTCCTGCTGATTACTAAGTCAAATGCACCAACAATTTCTACGATGATATTAAGATTTGATGGAATGACATAAAAACAATACGCTATGACGCTGATATTTGTACATCGGCTGATTCTGATAATTACTCAGGCTGATCAATAGGAATGTTGTCACCTACACGTGTGGAAGAGACCGCCATAGGTATACTCCTACACCATATGTTAGCACGCACACAGGGTTGGCACTGACTCAGCTCCTCTAATTCTCGTTTATATAGCGTCAGTCACACTTACCCGCCATTCCAGATAAACTTGGAGACCAAACAAATCCCTAAAATTGACTGTCAGCGTGGTTTGTCATGCAGTGGGCCATGGAGCGTGATCCTGTCTTCGTTACAGGGACGACAATAAGGAATAAATTATGCTGTGTACGAATATTGACCGATTCCAGCGTCTGTACACATGCTGTTTGCTCTGTTGGTTTCGACTTCCGTTCGATAAGACAAGACCGCAACATGATTTCAACTCAATCTCTGTCAGATTTCGGTGACAACGATGGTAATGTAAATTGTCACAAAGCGGAAGCACTTTACAACTGACCTTTCATGAGGAAACATTGAAATTTATGTCAAACAATTAAAACGTGAAACGACAGGAGCTTTCGTTCCTCTTTCCATCTTCAAACAATACAGTATATGTAACTGCCATGTACCACAAACGCTCGACTGTATGGACAAGTTTAAAAGCACTATCTGAGGAGACAGCGTGGCAAATATGAATGATATTTTCAATTCAATTGAATGTCCTATCAGTATTTCCGAAGAACACTCCTGGTGATTTCGCTACAGCAATATTTCGTAATTGTTGATAGGTATAATGAATAGAGTTAATATCTATGACCAATCAGAATCACCCTGTTCTGTTAGGGTTTCTGGTGTTCTAATGAAATCAACCGTTCGTACCGAAGCCAGAGGTAAAACATATTTTGAGCTCCCATCTCAATAAGACAAATAGAATTTCTATCAAGTAACACAGCACTGACATTTGTAACATATGTTTTTCGTAATAGAACCTGACAAGTAATATTGATTTGTCACAACGATCTGCCTCCTAATTCAGTTATATTCGTGCATCAACCCTATCTTACAGAGTGTCTTCATTCTATACTAACAAGGACATTGACCTGTATGTATATTAACAAATTACAAAATAAAATACCAACTGCGTTAAATCATTATTTCACGCCAAGTATATAGTTAGAGTCTGTTACCTTATACAGGTATAGTCTGTTACCTTATATAGGTATAGTCCGTAACCTTATATAGGTATAGTCTGTTACCTTATATAGGTATAGTCTGTAACCTTATATAGGTATAATCTGTTATCTTATAGTCCAGTTTTGTACATACCATACATATAAGTAGCTGATGATAAGAAGACCTAATGTCCTGTATAACTTTAAATCTGTATCTAATATTGATCCAAGATCTAGTTAAACAGTAGGATGGAAGACATACTATGAACCATTCGTTTATACTGTATTGATGACGAAGTGTTCACATCTATATCTGTATCATCTAATGCATTCACAATCCTGTGTTTGCCTTACCTGTTTTAGGCTGTTCCTCCATACGTGTAAAATACCCCCCCCCCCCCGAATCCCCACCCACATCTATATCTGTATCATTTAGTGCATTCACAATCCTGTGTTTGCCTTACCTGTTTTAGGCTGTTCCTACCCACATCTATATCTGTATCATTTAGTGCATACACAATCCTGTGTTTGCCTTACCTGTTTTAGACTGTTCCTCCATACGTGTAAAATAACCCCCCCCCCCTGAATCCCCACCCACATCTATATCTGTATCATCTAATGCATTCACAATCCTGTGTTTGCCTTACCTGTTTTAGGCTGTTCCTCCATACGTGTAAAAGAAACACTCCCCCCTGAATCCCCACCCACATCTATATCTGTATCATCTAATGCATTCACAATCCTGTGTTTGCCTTACCTGTTTTAGACTGTTCCTCCATACGTGTAAAATACCCCCCCCCCCCCCCCCTGAATCCCCACCCACATCTATATCTGTATCATCTAATGCATTCACAATCCTGTGTTTGCCTTACCTGTTTTAGGCTGTTCCT